GCCAGCGCACCGCACTGATCCAATGGCAGGAGCCAGGTACTTATCCTGGACTCCCAGGGGGTGCAGGGCCCAAGGACTTGGGCCATCCTCCACTGCACTCCCTGGCCACAGCAGAGAGCTGGCCTGGAAGAGGGGCAACCGAGACAGAATCTGGTGTCCCAACCGGGACTAGAACCTGGTGTGCCGGCGCCGCAGGTGGAGGATTAGCCTAGTGAGCCGCGGCGCCGGCCTAAAGTTTTCACTTATGGACAGATATCTTAATATTAGCAAAGGGAGGAGAAAAAATGTGTGAAAATTACTCGTTATTTAAATATGCATTTTCCAGTAAATCTATCACCCTATAAATTTTTGATCGCCTTTAACAATTCTCCCATCATCACTACAGATCTCTGAGTCATTGGGTATATGCAGAGGCTAAGTGGGGTCGCTGTAGGTAAGCTGCTCACTAGAACTGGAGAATAGACCCTGATGCAGAACAAGCTTTTCTCCTAACTTTCAGCCAGGTGTGAGTGAAATAAGGATGGAGGGCAGACCAAGGCCCCGGGGGCAGCACAGATGCTCTGTGGCGTGCTCGGGTCGGCCCCCAGAAGCAAGCTCAGGAGGCCTAATTTGATTCTCCCTTCTCCTAAATAAGGGCCTTGTGAAGCAGAGAATCGATGTCCTGGTCTCTTTTGGAATTCCTCACTGGAAAGGTTTTCTTAATGTGAGTGTGCCACGTAGCCGTGTCTGGGAATCGATAGGGATGCAGATGTCGATGCAGATGGCTGTATTCATGAAATGCTCACGTATGGCAAGCAGTGTGTCATCCCTGCACTCATCTGTTGCACACCTCTGATGTGACAGGCAGCTGATCCTGTGCTTGGTATGGAAGAGATAAAAACACAAACATGGCCCTGGTTTTCAGGAAGCTTGTAGTCTATTAGAGAAGGCAGACATTTAAAAAAAAAAGGGAAGGATGTTTCTGTCAGAGGAAACAGCACACAACATTGTGTGGTGAGTGTGAGCGAGTGAACTAAAGGGTGAGAGTGAATGCTTAGTGGTGAGGCTGCCGGAATGGACAGTGGCCAGGTCAGGAAGCACTTGAAAGGATTTGCACTTCGCTCTGAAGGCAGTGGAACACAGCCAGGGGATGTGAGCAGGGCATTACCACCATCAGATTTGCATTGGGAAAGACGACTCTCGCCTCACTGTGAAGCAAGGATTGGAAAGAGGCCGAGCAGAAGCCCCTGCAGGACCGGACTGGAGAGAGTAAGCTCCGGAGTGAGGAGTCGACATGGGGAGGAGCAAAGGGAATGACTTCAAGAAGGGGCATGTGGTGCTGTCACCAGGATGCACAGACATTGCATTGTGGGGGGACACGTAGCAAAGAACTAGAACAAGGTGTTGATGATGGTCTGATCTAACTTGCTATATAGATCTTGCAGATCTAACTGTGCTATATAGCCAAACCAGGGTATCCTGCTTGGAACACAGCCAGTATTTTCTCCACCGTGGTGCCTTGTTATCTTAGGTCTCCATCTGGATAGCAGACACATCAAGAATTCTCACAACGAGGATGACTCAGAGTGCTGTTCTACTAATGAGCAAACACTATCTTCACTTCACACAAGGAAACAATAGTTTGTGAAAAAGGTGTTGTACTTTCTTTCTTTAGCCTCATCTGAGTATTTTTGAGGACTATGAATAATAGAAAGTGAGACTGAATTTCCAAATGAGAATGTTTTTCTCACATTTTCATTTGTCATTAAAATTATCTTGGGCTGGCGCTGCGGCTCACTAGGCTAATCCTCCGCCTAGCGGCGCCGGCACACCGGGTTCTAGTCCCGGTTGGGGCACCGGATCCTGTCCCGGTTGCCCCTCTTCCAGGCCAGCTCTCTGCTGTGGCCAGGGAGTGCAGTGGAGGATGGCCCAGGTGCTTGGGCCCTGCACCCCATGGGAGACCAGGAAAAGCACCTGGCTCCTGGCTCCTGCCATCAGATCAGCGCGGTGCGCCGGCCGCAGCACGCCAGCCGCGGCGGCCATTGGAGGGTGAACCAACGGCAAAAGGAAGACCTTTCTCTCTCTCTCTCTCTCTCACTGTCCACTCTACCTGTCAAAAAAAAAAAAAAATTATCTTGCTTTGCTTCTCGGTATGGGTGGTTGAAGTTTGGGATCTTACCAAGATCATAGAAATATACGATTTTAGAGGCCAGTGCTGTGGCGTAGAGGGTGAAGCCTCCATCTGCAGTGCTGGCATCCCATATGGGCGCTGGTTTGAGTCCTGGCTGCTCCACTTCCGATCCGGCTCTCTGCTGTGGCCTAGGAAGGCATTGGAGGATGGCCCAAGTCCTTGGGCCCTTAAACCCATGTGGGAGACCTGAAGGAAGCTCCTGGCTTCAGACAGGCGCAGCTCCGGCCGTTACGGCCAACTGGGGAGTGAACCAGAGGATGGAAGACCTCTCTTTTTCTCTCTGCCTCTCCTTCTCTCTCTGTGTAACTCTGCCTTTCAAATAAATAAATATATCTTTTAAAAAAGTGTTTTACAAGGGCTGGCACCGTGGCTCACTAGGTTAATCCTCCACCTGTGGCACCAGCATCGCATATGGGCGCCGGGTTCTAGTCCCGGTTGCTCCTCTTCCAGTCCAGCTCTCTGCTGTGGCCCAGGAGGGCAGTGGAGGATGGCCCAAGTGCTTGGGTGCCTGCATCCACACGGGAGACCAGGAAGAAGCACCTGGCTCCTGGCTTCGGACTGGCGCAGTGCGCCAGCCGTAGTGGCCATTTGGGGGGTGAACCAATGGGAGGAAGACCTTTCTCTCTGTCTCTCTCTCTCTCACTATCTAACTCTATCTGTCAAATAAAAAAAAATGTTTTACAAATTAACCTTCATGCTTATATGAGACCCAAATGGAAATTTATTTATATGTGTTTGACAGCAAGAGTAAGGCTCAAAATGAGTGACTCTTGAAATAGTTTCTTATAATCTTGGCTAAACTTTAGTCCACATAGCTAAACAATTCAAAAACCCATCTTCCAATTGGAGCACCTAAAACTTTTACTGTCAAACTTCTCTTTCCTCCCACTCCTATCCTGTCGTGGCTGCTTCCTCACTCAGTGGATGGGGTCTTCCCTGGTCCACCGTCTTTCCAGCTCTCCTAGTCTCACAGCAGGGAGCACTTGAAACTTCCAAATTCCACTACAGGCTTAAGGCATTCTTTAATAGCTCTTCAAAATGTAGGACCAACTCACTTATGCATCTCAGTGCTGATAACTAGGTTCTGCTTTGATATCAAAGCACAAAGAACCTTTTAATTTTACTAACATGTTTTGAGAATTAGTCCTTAAAGAAAAACCTTCCTGGTGAAGATTGATTTGTTTGCTAATGAGATTAAACAAGGGGCCGGCACTGTGGTACAGCAGGTTAAAGCCTTGGCCTGAAGCGCTGGCATCCCATATAGGCACTGGTTCTAGTCCCGGCTGCTCCTCTTCCGATCCAGCTCTCTGCTGTGGCCTGGGAAAGCAGTAGAAGATGGCCCAAGTCCTTGGGCCCCTGCACTCATGTGGGAGACCTGGAAGAAGCTCCTGGCTTCAGATTGGCTCAGCTCCAGCCATTGTGGCCATTTTGGGAGTCAACCAGCGGATGGAAAACCTAGCTCTCTCTCTGCCTCTGCCTCTCTGTGACTCTTTCAAGTAAATAAATAAATCTTCAAATATATATATATAATTTTAAAATCCAATGAGTAGACTATCATAGTATATTTATCTGGTTAGTAGTCATGTTCTTAGCAACATAAAAGCTGAAATTGATGAGAATCCAGCACAGCACATTTCAAAAGCTGGTAAAATCCAGTCTAATAACTTTATGTCCACATCTAAAACTTGAAAATTAGCCCCATGAGATCAGTAAAGTGTCAATGAGAAGAAGACTTGATGTGGCCTCACAATTCATACTCATTAATAGGAAAAAGTAGCGCTTCAGATGAGTGGGAGTAAAAGTCCCAATAGGTCAGATGCCTTTAGCACATTAGATGTAGAAAAATAAATTGCAAGAGTGATAGCTGCCTCATCAACAACTGAATTTTCTTTTAAAAATATATAAAAAGCACTGTTCAGATGGCTCCATGATGTCTATTCATTTTTTTAAAAAGGTTTTATTTATTTAGGAGGTAAAGTTACAGTGAGAGGGCGAGACATAGAGGTCTTCCATCCACTGATTCACTCCCCAAATGGTCACAACGGCTGGAACTGGGCTGATCTGAAGCCAGGAGTCAGGAGATTCTTCCAGGTCTCCCATGCGGGTGCAGGGGCCCAAGGACTTGGGCCATCTTCCACTGCTTTCCCAGGACATAGCAGAGAGCTGGATTGGAGGAGGAGCAGCTGGGACTAGAACCAGCAGCTATATGGGTTGCCAGCAGCATAGGTGGAGGATTAACCTACAGAGCCAGCCCCAATGTCTGTTAATTCTAATGACGTCATTGTAAGAATCTGTTTACTTGTGGTACACTTCAGAATTAAGTCCCTATCTTATAGGAGAGGGGAGAAAGGTGAATGTGGAGAAGGGCCACATGGCGAATGCTTTCTCTTTTCTGCAGTGCTGATTCCTCAGTTATTTACATAGTGAAAACCAGAAAGGAATAAAATTTAGTACAGTGTCCTCAAAATGGCACGCACACACAGCAAAAACAAACCAAGCCAAGTTGTTTTAGAGTTGTATCTAGAGGAGACTACATAAAAACAGATTGTCAACAAAACTGGCTAAATTGGGCAAAGATGGATGTTATTCAGAACTGACTTTGAATGTGGCAGAATATGGATTAGCAGGTTAAACCAACTGCAATGCACACAGACGCGCATGGCTGCACGCTCTGACCACCCCAAAACATGGCAGTGTTAAACTTACTCTTGTGTTACCTAATTTTTTAAACTGAAATGTTTAACTTTCTGTTCCTATCATTTAACACATGGGACGTTTGTAATTTTTCTTGAATCAGCTCAGGATCGTGTCCTTGGTTGTTTCTATGCAGGTGGAGAAAGCACACGTCAAGAAGAGCAGTGCCACCTGCACAAGGACCACCAGCCCGCGGAGCAGGAGTGAGAGAGGGCAGCGATCGCTTCTCTCGGGAAGACCTCAAGCTGCTCTGTCTCCCAGAAACCTGTGATGTTGAGATCTTCTTTCCCGGGACTGTCCTTTGAGTACCACCTACTGCAAGCCAAGCTTCCAGAGTGTTACTAGTATTGATGAGTGTGTTCACCAAGAACTAGCTCAGTCTAACTTTAGTGCTGGCAGAATAGCAGAGGAGGACATGATGTCATCTATCTCATCCAGAGAAAAAGGGGGGTTGCAGAGGAAGGAGGAAGAGTCGGGGGGGGGGAGCAACCAAAAGAAATAAAGATCCACAAAAGTCTAAGTTGTCTATGAGAGAGTGAAGGTAAACTGGCTTAGTCTCATAAGATCAAATGCTTCAAGTTTCCCCAGTAATAATCACAGTGAAATCTTTTTTATTATTTTTTAAAGAGTTATTTATTTTACTTTAAAGAGTTACAGAGAGAGGAGGAGAGACAGAGAGAGATCTTCCATCTGCTGGTTCACTCTCCAAATGGCTGCCATAGCCAGGGCTGGGCCAGGAGGAAGCCAGGAGCCAGGTGTCTCATCCAGGTCTGCCATGTGGGTGCAGGAACCCAAGTACTTGGACCATCTTCCAATGCTTTCCCAAGCACATTAGCAGGGAGCTGGATCAGAAGTGGAATAGCCAGGATTTGAACTGGTGCCCAGCGTTGTGGGTGGTGGCTTTACCTGCTTCACCACAATGCTAGCCCTCATAGTGAACTCTTAATGGCACTAACCTATGCTAGGCATTGTTCTAAAGGTTCTTCATATATTAGCTCTGAGGTACTATGAATATGCCCACTTTAGAGCTGAGGTTATTGAGGCACAGAGGTAAGTTGCCCAGAATTAGAAAGCAGTGGGAGGAGGATCTGAATCTAGGCAGCTCCAGCTCTAGAGTCTAGTTGCTGTGGAATTCATCTTTATTTTACAGCTTCTCTGTAGATACAGTCAACTCAAAGTGATGAAATGTGTGTTACTGGTCCACAGTGACATGAGCTGCTTGCACCAGACTATAACAATGAGAGCATTGAATCCTATTCTTAAGCTATTTATTTTTTTTTGGTAGGCTTCCTGTATGGAAGAGGTAGTGCACCTGATTTATAGCATGGCTGACATGCTAATCTCGTCTCCAACTTGCCACTAACAACCCATGCACTAGTAGCAATCCTTGAATCACCCTTTGGCACAGTGCTAACAGATTACCTTCCCTGGTTCCAGAAGAGGCAATGGAACCTATATATTTTTTAAGACTTACTTATTTGAAAGTTTTAAGTTACTGGGGGGAGGGCGTGGAGGAGAGCATTTTCATCCACTGGTTCACTCCCCAAATGGCCACAATGGCTGGGGCTAGGCCAGGCCAAAGCCAGAGCCAGAAACTGCATCTTGGTCTCCCACATGGATGGCAGGGCCCCAGGGACTTGGGCCATCTTGTATTGCTTTCCCAGGTGCATTGGCAGGGAGCTGGATTATAATTGTAAGTGGAACATCTGGGACTTGAACTAGTGCCATACCAGCTGCTGGCACTGCAGGCAGCTGCTTAATCCACTGTGCCACAGCACCAGCCCAAAGGGGACTTTGGCTTAAGATCATGAAAGCACCCCCTTGAGGCAGGCGCTGAGGGGCATTCTGATGTGCAGGCTCAGACAGCAAGGAAATGTCTAGCAACCTCCTGACCAGCAAGTGGAACACACAGGCTTTGACATCACATCAGACTATGCTATGCTGACTCTTCCTGGCCCGGAAGTCACTCAGACCAACAGTAAGAACGAAAAAAGCTGTGACATGCGCAGGGTCGGGGTTGGGAGCTCTCAGCTTCTACTCTTGCTCCACTGCCACCCCTCTACCCTTTTCCCACCCACTCGGCCTCCAGAGAGGCCCTCTTTGAGACACATCTCATACTAAGTGCCTCCACTTAAGGCGCATAGTTGTTCTAATAGATTTGCTTCACCCCAGCAGGTTTTCCTTTGAGTACAATTTACGTATGTCCTGCTTTCCAACCAGGGCAACATAGGATATGCTGTGAGTTTAGTATCATTGCATTCATATTGGGAGCACAACTTTATACTTATGAAACAGAAAGGACCCCTCTCCCATCCACATCCTGGCTGCCTGAGGAACAGAGATGGTGCGTGTGGGAATGCATTGCTGCTCTTTCCTACACTAGGAGACACTTTTGGTCTCGTCCTGCTCCTCAGTGTCTAAGTAAGCTACCAGGTAAACTGTAGGACCCGCCACGTGGAAAGCCAGGTCTCTGCTTCCACCTAAAGAACTTTATGCCCAGGAGATGGTCATCCAAGTTCTGCATAAACTTTTTGGGGAGAAAAATAAGTAGCCACATTGAATAGCAGAGCATATTAATTTTGTACAGTCTGATAGTTAAACTGTTCTTTCCTGCTATTAAGCTAAATTCTGTATTATCTGTATTGCAAGTTCTAGGTTTTCTTTTCTAAAGCAATTGAAGAATCTCATCCTTCTCTGACTTCATACCCTCACACATGGTTCTCTATCCCTCTAACCTTTAACCTCTGACCTCTAATCATGCTGTCGTACAGCATGGTTTCCATAACCGAATTATTTTGCTCTTGATTTACATCAGCCTTGTGAGATGTTTCAGGTATGTGTGCTAGAGTCAGTTGCCTGAGTTTGAATCCTGCTTCTACCAGTTGTTAGCTGTGTGAATATGGAAATTTGTTTAACTTTTCTGTCTCATTTTTTTCAATGACAGAACAGTGTGCCTATCTTAATATTTGCGAATGGTCAGTGGTATAATAATATGTATAAAGTGCATAGTAAATGCTCAGAAGTGGAATAGTAAGACTATACATTTTTAGTTTGGAAATTTTGATTCTCCTAAAGTAACCTACAGTGACCTTGGCTTTCTTTTGAGCCGTTCTTCATTCTCTTACCCAGTAGGGGTGCCTCCCACGCCTCCTGTGAGCCTGTGGAGGGGCAGGTGAGTGGGGGCCCAAGAAGGTGCTGCATTAAATAGACTCATCAGGAGAGGCCTCATCAAAAAGGTGACAGTTGAGCAAAGACCTGAAGCAAGGGAGTTAACTATGGGCATTTCAAGAAAAACAGTACTCCAGTGGTGCATGCACTAAGGTGGGACCCACGCTGCATGTTCCCAGGAGTGAGAGGAGGCCGCTGTGGATGGGCCTAGGGGATAAAGGCAGCAGCAGAGAGGGAGGCAGAAAGGAACCAGGCAGATGCTTTGGAGTGGGGTCAGCCCATGAGGGTTGAGAACCACAGTGATGTGACTGGGATTTCTTTTTTTCTTTTTTTTTGACAGGCAGAGTGGACAGAGAGAGACAGAAAGAAAGGTCTTCCTTTTGCCATTGGTTCACCCTCCAATGGCTGCCTCAGCCGGTGCACTACGGCCGGCACATCGCACTGATCCAAAGCCAGGAGCCAGGTGCTTTTGGTCTCCCATGCGGGTGCAGGGCCCAAGCACTTGGGCCATCCTCCACTGCACTCCCGGGCAACAGCAGAGAGCTGGCCTGGAAGAGGAGCAACCGGGACAGAATCCGGCACCCCGACCGGGACTAGAACCCAGTGTGCCGGTGCTGCAGGCAGAGGATTAGCCTAGTGAGCTGCAGCGCCGGCCTGTGACTGGGATTTCAATCAGTCACGGCCCAGGCAAGGCGGCAAGCAAGTTAGGCACAGTAGCAGCCGGACCAGGGTGATGGCCCTCATGTGGAAGAAGTGTAGTCAGCCTCTGGGCATTTGTTGAGGGCAGAGTCAAGAGGATTTCCTAGCTGATGAGACAGGAGGTGTGAGAAAGAGAGGAGTGGAAAATGATTGTGTCATTTGTGTCCTGAGCCCCTGGTGCAGTGGAGCTGGTGTGAGAGCTGTGGATGGCGTGGGTGGAGCAGGCTTACAGGGGAGCAGAACTGGACTGGGAGTACACGAAGTATTAGTGATCCACCGTGCAGGGGATTGGAGTGGTCAAGGAGGAGGCTGAGTGCAGGTGTCTGAGCGGGGGAGAGCCAGGCTGCAGCAGGCTTGGGTCCAACCCAGACTGGAGGAGGCTTCCGAGGAGTGAGTGCTGAGTGGGTAGTGGGAACCAAGGACTAAGCCCTGAGACACTCAAGTGTTCAGAGGTTGGGCAGGAAAGAGAGAGGGAAGGAGGGAAGGAAGGAGGGAAGGAGAGAGAGAGAAGTGAAATAAGTAAAAGGAAATAAATATGTAAACAACTTAAAAAGAAAAAAGGGGCAGAGTTGAGAAGTCAAGGAGGCCAAGGCAGTGCAAGAGTTTGAAGAGCAGAAGAGCAGAGCCAAGGGGACCAGAGAATGAAAAGGCCTGGAGAGCTGCAAGGGTTCCCCCAGAGGGACTCCAGCCAAGGACTGATGGGCACAGACCTGCGGAAATGAGATGGCCCAGGGCCAAGGAAGGAGCCCCGGAGAAGCAGGGAGAGCAGTAATTCCTGCAGTTCCACAGGCCTGGAGACAGCTCTCAGGAGAGTAACAGTGCATTCCGGTGCCTGATGGGAACAACTGATGGGGCAGGAGATGAACAGGAGAACTGCTCAAGCGGTGTCTCTAGGGAGGGTAGGAACTGCTGCACAAATAGACAGAGGGCTAATCCTCCGCCTAGCGGCGCCGGCACACCGGGTTCTAGTCCCGGTCGGGGCGCCGGATTCTGTCCCGGTTGCCCCTCTTCCAGGCCAGCCCTCTGCTGTGGCCCGGGAGTGCAGTGGAGGATGGCCCAGGTGCTTGGGCCCTGCACCCCATGGGAGACCAGGAAAAGCACCTGGCTCCTGGCTCCTGCCATCGGATCAGCGCGGTGCGCCGGTCGCATCGCGCTGGCCGCGGTGGCCATTGGAGGGTGAACCAACGGCAAAGGAAGACCTTTCTCTCTGTCTCTCTCTCTCTCACTGTCCACTCTGCCTGTCAAAAAAAAAAAAAAAAAAAAAAAAAAAAAAAACCAAATAGACAGAGGTACATGCCTGAGAGCCTTTGGTCCCAGGCAAAATGGTGACGGATGTGAGCGGAGGGGCTGAGGAGTAAGTTGATGGTGCATGTCCTCTGCCCTCTTCAGTTTTTTTTCAG